GATTGCTTCGGCCGGATTGCCACCCGAAGCCAAAACAAAATTTTTTTCTTTTTCCCCTGCATATCCGGCCTTGCATCCGGCCAGAAACTGGCCGGATTCTTGGCCGGATTCTGGGCAGCGTTTTGCCAAAAATTCTTTCTTCCTTCGTTTGCATACGGTACTCACATAAATACACCAAACACATAATGTAGTTCATCCAAGACTTGATAAAGACATATATGTACATGCCTTATATACATAAGAAAGGTTCAATTTACACCTCAAAGGTACACGAAGTCATATACATCAAAAGTTCAAGTTCTCGAGGAGCTTTTCAAAACTATCACTTAACTAGCTCAACTCATATCAAAACTTGTTTCCAATCATGCTCCTGTAAGGAAAACAAAACAACGGGGGTGAGCTTACGCTCGTGAGGTACCAAATGCACAATTTCATGATACAACTATTAACACATATACATAAACACCTTCATACAAACATACACATATAAAAGGATACATGTGACCCTCAAGGGCCGGTTTCCGATTGCCATACTTGATCGCACATGTTGACACTCCGTCAACCATTTAAACAATCCAAGATCCGTAGACACCACTTCGCACCATTTCCTTCCACCATTCACCCCCTATTCGGGCCCGCCGCCTCATAGTTCCAAAAGGGTAATACTCGAGTATACCACAAGGTCGAGGAGTTAACACTCCACTCGCCTATCAAGAACCCAAAGGCTCATTAACGAATCGCCCAAGCCCTTGCCGGCTCGACTCGAATAACGGTCTAAGGGCATGAGCTCAATTTCACATTAATATTAAGGCATTGCCCCATCAAATGTCAAATCATGTATATATACCACTTCACATCCAAACAATAATGGTAAATGCAAGTAAGTGGTCAAGAGCGATCAAGTACACTCTCGACCCAAATCAAGACCTTTAAAATCACATAACAAGTATGTTCATCATATACTGGTACACTCACCAAATTTTCAAGCAAGTCACACGTTTGAATCAGGTGTAGGTCCCGGCCCACCGGTACGACCTAAAACAAGCAAATAACCATATTGAAGACTCAAACACAATTCAACGTACAAGTTTAACTTACTAATGCAAGTTGCTCAAAAGCCAATACAATGAAACATTAAGGTGTGGGATGTGAGTAAAAACCCAAAACTTATCCCTTTCTACTCAAATCCTTCTCAATACAAAACCATCTATATTTCTAACCATTTGGACGGCATAACCCCTTAATTTCTTCACATTTCCAACCTAACCACAAGCATTCAACCTGTACCAATACACTTATATATCACAATTTAGTCCATTCATCCCATTTAAGCCACAATACAAACAAATACACATCAACTACTAGCATATATACCATATATAGAAAAACCCCAATTTATACCAAAACCTAAAAATCGAAAATCCTACAAATGCTGAAATTTTCTACAATTAAACACCATTAACATATCTAGGCTCCAAATCATGCAATAAAATACCATCACAACCTAGCTAACCATGAGAAATCATATAAAACAGAAAATTCCTCAATAAATAGAAAATTTCCATAACTCAACCACAAGTCTTGAAATAACCCATAAAATGGCTTCTATAACCACTAACATGTACTAATTTCATCTCACAACCAACACATAAACATTTCCTAACTTGCTTACCTTACAAATGTGGAATACAAGGTAGAGGATAGCTTTTCTCTTCAAACAAAAACCACCAAGTAGTTCAACCCTTCCTAGCAAGCAAGTTTTGTGGAGAAATTTGAAAGATTAATGGTTGGTTTGCAAGATTTGGCCAAGAAATGAAGCAAAAGTTGAAGAGGTTTCTTTCTTTCTTTCTTCAAGGTTGGTCGGCAATGAGCAAGAGAAAAATGAGTAATTTTGGATCAATTTTTCTCTTAATAAGAAAGGTAAAGTGAAAGTCAAAAGTCCAACTTCCAATAAGATCTCAACATGTGTTTTCCAAGCTTATCCAACATCTTTGTCTTGTAAAAACTTAATTATACTAGCTAACCACTAATTAGCTCATAACACTAGGTACTAAAGCTTTCGTATAGAAAATTTCCCAAAGTCACATTTACCGGTACCGATTACCCTAGTGGGTCCCACATGCACTGTACACCTCTATAAGCACAGAAATTGACCTAAACCCAGAAAATGATGCAAAATTCATATTTTCTCATAAAATTCCCCAGAAAACCTACATATAAAATAAAACCCCAAAAATAGACTTAAAAGCCCCAAAATAAATACCCGGAAAATAAAAAAATAAATAAAAAAATAAATAAAAAAAAAATTTTCGGGGTCTCACACTCTCTCCCCCTTAAGTAATTTCGTCCTCGAAATTTCTCACCTGAGTCAGTAAACAGCTCTGGATATTTGGTTTTCATCTCGTTTTCCATCTCCCAGGTTGCCTTCTCAACTCCGTGGTTCTTCCACAGAATTTTCACCAGGGGAATTTGTTTATTCCTCAGCTCCCTAACTTTTCTATCCAATACTTGCACAGGTTTCTCTTCATAAGTAAGGGCCTCGTCGATTTCAATCTCTTCTTGCTGAACAATGTGAGTTGGATCGGGGTGATACTTTTTGAGCATGGACACATGAAATACGTCATGAATCCGCGACAGGCTCGGCGGCAACTCAAGTCGGTATGCGACTTTTCCAACCCGTTGAAGGATCGGAAAAGGTCCTACGAATCTGGGCTGGAGTTTCTTTCCTCTGCCGGCAGTAACACTCCGTAATGGTGTAATCTTCAAGAATACTTGGTCTCCTACTTCAAACTCCAGATCCTTCCTTCGATTATCGGCGTAGCTCTTCTGGCGACTTTGGGCTGTCTGGAGTCTTTGACGGATTAACTTAATCTTTTCTTGTGCATCCTCCATCCAAGGGACAATAGTAGGGTCTAGGATCCTTTTCTCTCCCACTTCATCCCAATATATCGGTGAACGGCACTTTCGCCCATAAAGGGCTTCGTACGGTGCCATTTGGATTGATGAATGGTAGCTGTTATTATAGGCGAACTCTACTAATGTCATGTGCTGTCCCCAAGTACCCCCGAAATCTAAAATACTCGTTCGTAACATATCTTCGAGAGTCTAAATCGTCCGCTCCGACTGTCCATCCGTTTGAGGATGATAGGTAGTACTCAAATTCAACTTCGTCCCTAAGGTCTCTTGAAACTTCTGCCAAAATCTAGACACGAAGCGAGGGTCTCGATCGGAAACAATGCTCACAGGCACTCCATGCAATCTCACAATCTCCTCCAGATACACTCGAGCTAACTTATCCATGGAATACTTCATATTCACAGGCAAGAAATGAGCCGACTTGGTCAATCGATCAACGATCACCCAAACGGCATCATGTCCTTTTTGAGTTCTAGGTAGTCCAGATACGAAATCCATGGTAATATGTTCCCATTTCCATTCAGGAATCTCCAGCGGTTGCAGTAATCCCGAAGGCTTCTGATGTTCAGCCTTAACTTGCTGGCACACCAGGCAGGTTTGCACGTATTGAGCTATCTCTCTCTTCATCTTGTCCCACCAGTACAATTGTCGTAAGTCACGATACATCTTGTTACTTCCTGGATGGATTGTATATTTAGATCGATGAGCCTCCTCCAAAATTTCCCTTCTCAAAGTTTCATCATCAGGTACCACTATGCGATTTCGAAATCTTAAAATCCCTTCAGAGCTCAAATTAAAATCAGAAATTTCTCCTTTCTTCACCTTTTCTACCCACTTTTGAACCATCGAATCCTTAATTTGAGCTTCCTTGATCCTTTCCAAAAACACGGACATCACTCGGATGTTTCCAAAGGTTATCTTATTATGCTCCAGCTTTGGATTCCATTCTCCTACAACTCTCAATAATTCCCACTCTTTCACCATCAATCCAGAAATCTGAGCCTTCCGACTTAAGGCACCGGCTACCACATTAGCCTTCCCAGGATGGTAGTGAATGGTATAATCATAATCCTCTAAGAATTCCATCCAACGGCGCTGTCTCATGTTCAACTCCTTCTGGGAAAAGAGGTATTTGAGGCTTTTATGGTCAGAGTAGACTTCAAAAGTCACCCCGTACAGATAGTGTCTCCACTTTTTAAGAGCAAAGACAACTGCGGCCAGTTCAAGGTCATGAATAGGATAGTTTTGCTCATGGGTTTTCAATTTTCTGGAAGCATAAGCTATCACGTTTTGGTGTTGCATCAGTACGCACCCTAATCCCTCTTTGGAGGCGTCAGTGTAAACAGTGAAACCGTCCGGACCATTAGGTAAAGCTAGAATAGGGGCCATAGTTAATCTCCGCTTCAGCTCTTGAAAGCTGGTTTCACACTTATCACTCCACAGAAATCGTCCACCCTTCTTGGTTAAATCAGTTAAGGGACTGGCAAGTTTCGAAAAGTCTTTAATAAACCGCCGGTAATAACCTGCCAACCCTAAAAAACTTCGGATCTCCGTGGGATTATCGGGTCTCTTCCACTCAGTTACTGCCTCTACCTTGGCCGGATCCACAGCAATTCCTTCTTTAGAAATCACGTGCCCCAGAAAAGAAACTTTCTCCAGCCAAAACTCACATTTGCTGAATTTGGCGTACAACTGGTGCTCCCTCAGGGTTTGTAGGACCTCTTTCAGATGTTGTTCATGTTCCTCGCGGGTTTTTGAATAAACCAATATGTCGTCGATAAAAACAACGACAAATCGGTCAAGGTAAGGTTTAAAAATTCGATGCATGAGATCCATGAAGGCAGCAGGGGCATTAGTCAGTCCAAAAGGCATCACGGCAAATTCGTAATGCCCATACCGAGAATTGAAGGCAGTTTTAGGCACATCTCTCTTTTTAATCAAAAGTTGGTAATACCCCTGTCGAAGGTCTAATTTTGAAAAGACCACCGCACCTTGCAATTGGTCAAATAATTCATCAATGTGGGGTAGTGGGTACTTATTCTTGATGGTCACGTTATTCAACCCTCGGTAGTCGATACATAGTCTCAAGGTCCCGTCCTTCTTCTTAACAAAGAGAACAGGTGCCCCCAAGGCGATCCACTCTCGTGAATAAACCCTCGCTCTAGAAGGTCTTGCAACTGTAATTTCAGCTCTTTGAGTTCCGCAGGTGCCATTCGGTAAGGAGTTTTGGAAATAGGGAAAGCCCCTGGACAAAGGTTAACTTCAAACTCAACTTCTCTTTCCGGAGGCAGATTCACTAACTCGTCAGGAAAAACATCAAGGTATTCACTCACGACTGGAACATCTTCTATTTTCAGTTTGTCAGCAGGAGTGTTAATAAGAAAAGCTAGGAACCCCTGTGCCCCTTTACTCAATAATTTCCTAGCTCGAATACCCGATATCATAGCAGATGAGGCTAGACTACCCCTCACATCTAACCTCAAAGTTGCCTCCCCAGGAATACGAAATTCAACAGTTTTCCTCTTGCAGTCCAGCTGGGCATCGTATCGAGCCAACCAATCCATGCCTAATATCACATCGCATCCCTTTATGGCTAAACTTATCAAATTCCCCAATAACTTCCGCTCACCTACCGAGATCTCACAATTCGTGTACATTTTGCTAGAAATCAAACGTTGGTCCCCCGTAGGAGTACTAACTTCTAACTCATAAGGAAGTATAACAGGGTCTATATCAATTCCACACATAAACTCGGGGTTAACAAAGGAATGGGTAGCTCCAGGGTCTATCAAAATTCTAGCTAGGCGGTGGAAGACAGGAATCGTACCTTCCACTACCTCGGCGGAATCAGGAACTGGCCGTTGCTCAATGGAGTACACCCGTGCGAGTACCTTTGGTTTGGTACTGTCTACCCGGGATTGACTTGAGGTAGCCTTAGATGTCATCGGGGTAGTTCCTCTCGCGTCACGTGCCTGGACCGGACAGTTGGCGAACCGGTGCTCCGCACTTCCGCACCGCAAACACTTATTCTGCTTCCTCCAGCAGTCGTCCTCCGTGTGATTGGGTTTCCCACAGAAGTTACACGGACCACGCGCTACAGTAGCGGAACTCCCTTGTGTGGTGCTCCTCGGCGGTCCTCGGCCTGGTTGGCTTCCTCGGGAAGAAGCCCCTCTAGCTGGACTCGAAAATCGTCCCCCTCCAGCTCCCCTTCCAAATTTAGGAGGGGGAGAGGTACTCTTATCCCCTTGAGTTGAGCTACTCCCAGCAGCTCCGCGCTTTCGATTTTGGAAGTTTCTCACCTGGAGCCTCGCATTCTCGGATCGTAAGGCCTTCTCAACAGCATCACTAAAAGTAGTGATTTGGGCAACGGCTAAATCCTTTTGGATTTCCACATTAAGCCCATGAAGAAAACGCCTAGCCCTCCTTTGTTCGGTTAAAATGAGCTCAGGAGCAAATTTAGATAAACGTGTGAATTGGCTCTCATATTCGGCCACCGATTGCGTCCCTTGGCGTAGACGAATAAATTCGTCCTCTTTTTTCTCTTGAACCAACGGCGGAAAATACTTGGCGTTGAATTCCCGTACAAAATTCATCCAGGTCCTTGGTGTCTGTTCTCGCTCCCATTTCGTCCGGATAATGTTCCACCAAGAGCGGGCAGCACCTTCGAGTTGGAAAACCGCAAAGGTCACTTGCCTCTCTTCCGAGTAATGTAGAGCGGCGAAAATGTCTATCATCTTTTCCAACCATTGTTCGGCCACATCAGGGTCGGGCCCTCCTAGAAATTTAGGCGGAGAGAATTTTTGGAATCGTTCGAGAGCTCGATCCTCGCTCTCGACGTGATTTCCAGGGTTTCCAGGATTGCCAGGATTGCCAATTGGTGGATTAGGGTTGGGGCCCTGTTGTTGTACCACCTGGGCTAAGAGATCGGTCATCCGCTGAATAGCAGCGGCTACTTGCACGTTGGGATCGATTTGGGGTTCAGGAGTTGGTTCGGGCACTACAGTTCCCGTACCCTGTTCAGTCGTGGGATGTCTACCCCCACGTCCGCGCCCCCGGCCACTACGCGTGCCTTCCATCACTCTAGTTCAATCTATAATCAAAATATACCCATGAATATAACTTTAACACTAAAGGGCACACATCCCTGTTCTCAACAAGAAACATGGCCACAAAATCAAACAATCACTTCATAACACACTTAAACACATAACACATAGTCATAACATTTTCACCAGAATTAACCATATATACCAAAACAGTCATTCAAGTACAAATGAGGAAAGCCTCTTGCGGAATGGCCATAACAAAAGTCATATACACAAAACTAGTCCACTATACAACATGACTAGATAAAGGTCCTCCCCGACCCACCATTCCGTATCCCATATATATACAAGAGTCAAAACCGTCCAAGGTGGTCTAAAAGCCAGACCCTAGCCTACCGTGGGACTAGAGGACCTACTCGCTTGGGCGGGTTCACCTCCAACTCCGCCTCCTACACTAGAGTCCTCGTCCCCACCTCCTACACTAGAGTCCTCGTCACACTCGTCCCCTACTAGGTCATCACATAGGTTCAGAATCGATCCGGCTTTCTCCTTTAGTTGTCTCGCCCTCTTGGCCGTACGTTTGTGCATCTCCTCAAGTTGCGAACACAAGTCGTCCAATAGAAACCTAGCCCTCGAGCGAAAATTTGGGCAGCACGCCCTTTGTGTTTACCTAATTTTCCAGCCATTTTGGCTTCATTATTTTTCCTCAACCACAGCCCAACATCACACATAAGCAATTCAAGTCAAAAGCCATTCCATAGGCTCACAATATCATAAGAATAAGAATTACAACAATCACAAGTGCAGAAATTCAACTTAGCACAAGACAGATTTGACGTACGAATGCGGAAATAACATATCCGAAGCTACGCTTATCGGATTGAGACGAAACCTATGCCGTTTCGAAGCTAAGACACAGAGCTACAACATTTATGAAGGTCACTTAGTCCAGTTCCTAATGTAACTTAGTCAAATTCTCAAATTACTAAACCAGAAACCAATTCATCAGCTGTTTAAACGCAGAACACTGTAATGGACATATCTCAGAGTACACAAGTCCGAATCAGGTGTTCTTAGAGGCATTTGAAAGCTAATTCAGAATAATACACCTTTCATGTTTTGGAAAAAAGCTAAATCAGAATGGATCCTAGTCGAAAAACGTAATAAACTGGACTTAACTGATCACACGAACTGCTTGGGAAATACTTAAAACAGTAAGGGTATTTTGAACTTTTCACGTCCTATGTTGCTCCGATTAAGCTGAAAATTTGTAGGCACCTATAAAATGCCATTCTCTACAACGTTTCTTCTTTGACCTAAGCCCAAATCGACCTCTAACATACAGATATAAATTCGGACAGAAAGTTGGGGAAATTTTCCAGATTCTGGAATTTTGAGTTTCTAGTGCAACTTTCCTTAATTTCTTGGTCTAATCCCTACCACAACACCTTATAACACTTCAATTGCAACATATAAGCATCATACAACAAATTGGGCAGAATTTCCCCAAACCCTAGTTCATGAAATAAATTGGGGAAAACTTCCAAAACAAAATAATATCCATGATTCCACCACAAAATCAAGTTGCTAAGCTTAATTTCACAAGATTGGAAGTAAAACTTGGAGAGATAAGCTCTCTTACCTTGACTAGAGGTCACTAAGAGTAGCCCAAGCTTTCTCCTTCAAAAACTCACCACAACTCACTAACTAGTCACTCAAGAACAAGTTTAATCGGTTTATTTTGTTTGATTTCTTCCTAAGTTGTTGGATTGAAGATGAAAAGAAATGTTTTCCTTTGGTGTTTTCCCTCTTCTCTCTCTCGGCCAGCAGCAGTAGAAATAAGGGGTAAAATGCTGAATTTTGGTGCTTAAATGGATGATAATTGTCTTGGGTCAAGAAGCCTTAAGGTGGCGACAAGTGTCGCCACCACCACCTTTCTTTCTTTTCTCTTTCTCTTGTTATTTCCTAGCCTCACATTCGGTCAAGCTTGTTGCCAAGAGAGAAGATATTTTGCTCAAGTTCAATAAATTTGTTTGGTAAGGAAAAATGGTGGTCAAGCAGTGCGTTCAATCGGTAGTGCGCGGGACCAGCCGGCTCGCGCCGTTTTTCTTAAAACTCACGTACTAGGGTTTTTACTTCCCATTCACTAACCTTATATCATTGCCACTAGTCACATATTATTTTCCACTTAAAAGTCACTTTTAATCCCCAAATTAATTCTTACTCTGTACCGAAAATTCATCCGGCGGAAAATCGCAAAAACCCTAATTTCGCTCCAAACTTGAAACCGAAGCGTAAAACCCTATTTTCTAGGTTTATCTACACTTAATGTGAAATATTTGGGTAGTGGCCTTTGATAAATACTAATTTTCAAATAAAAGGGTATTTTTGAGGAAAAATACAAGGAATTTGCGAGTCCTCACAACCTCAATCACTTCCAATAGCCAAATACGCCTTCAAGGCATCAAATTCACATATAACAAAGCCACATTGTAACATTTAAGTGAGTAGTATACTCACCACTCAAGAAAGTGATGTTTCATGCACCGTCGTTAAACGAACGTCGTGCACCACCGTTACCTCCTAGAACAAGCAAACAAATATAATGAGACTCGATAACGAGTCATAAAGCAATGCCAATTGCAACCCCAATAGGGTTTCATATGCATATACAAGCATTATAGCAAACCAGAAAATCAGGAAATGTAACTCATTTGACCCAACAACAAAAACAGTTTTGGCCTCCTAATGCGGTAATGGCACAAAATGCGTTACGCTTATCGGATGAGGGTGTAAGACCCACCATCTCGAAGCTAAAAGACAGGGCTACAACAATGTAGAAGGCCACTCAGTCTAAATCCTAGCACAACTAGGTCAAAAATGCAGAATACCAAGCCAGAACCGTAATTGCAGGTTTACAAATCACACTATGCTGTAATCAGTACAACTCAGTCTATACAGGTCCAAATGCCGAAATTCCAAAGGCATATGATAACTAGGACATCAAGCTACATTTCATCAGAAGACACCAACAACAAAATCCAAACCAATTCCAGCCAAAACAACCCATTTCAGACGCAGTTCGCGCATTCTGATCACCCAGAACAGCAACAGTAAAAATGACATATCTCACTCTACACTATTCCAAATGATCTGAAATTTTACAGGCATCTCAAACACATCAATACCTACAACTTTCATGTTTTAAGAAAAGGCCAATTCGGCCTCTAACCATATGATCAAAAACCAGACAGAAAAGGGGGTTATAAAACCCTAACTTTTCTCATTTCAATCCAAACCCAAAATTGGTTGCAATTATCAATAATTCACACCTACTAGAGTCATTACCCCTCATTACCAACCATCATAAACAACCACAACACCATGATCACAGTAAACCAGAAAATTCCTCAAAAAAATAAAAACTTCACCAATTCATCTCAAATCAAGAAATAAATCACAAATATCATCACTTTAGCCACCACTAGGCACAAATTAAGCATCATTAAGTGTAGGAGGAAGTTCATATACCACTTACCAAGTAAACAAGAGAGAGGGAGTTGTAGAACACCTTGGCTTCCTTAAAAACTTCACCTAACAACTTACTAGCACCTAATGGAGGGATGATATGGAGTAGAAACTAATTTAGGCAAGTGGTTTGAATGATTTGAGCTAGTTGTGTGACAGCCCCACCTCTCCCTTGGGCAAACCCTAGGGTATCAGCGGACTGCCTGCCTAGCTCTCGCCAGGACTCAGTCGTTCAAAGCACTAATATCATCAATGAAACGAATGTAACATTTGATAATGCAGGGGATTGAAACACTAACTCAAACATGATCACTAATCCAACAATTCAGCTTAGTACATATATCATCGTATGCCAACTTACCACGCTTCACTCAAAATTACATAATATAAATCACCCTTAAGAATTTAAGCTTACAAGTCTGCTTAAACAAAAGTTACAACCTCAAAACGTAAGAACGGCAAAATAAAGCTAAGAAAGCCCTCGATCAAATCCCTTCCCGATCTGTTAAGGAAAACAAAGGGAATGGGGTGAGCTAAAACCCAGTGAGGTTCCAGGTAAACAAGTAAACACATAGCCACATAAAATCACAAAATAGCCAACTAAACACCGTACAGTAAAATAACAGTTTAATCACAATTCAATTCAAGGATACGGGTGGCTTTCAAAAGCCAAAGGTCCACTTGAGCTTGATCATAATTGCCTCCTGTTGATACTCCGTCAACACTTATAACAGTATATAGGTCCGTAGAACACCACTTTCACCAGTCTCCGTCCCCCAAACAACCACCCACCGGGCCCGCACTCCATAAACAGTAGTTTGGTAATACTCGAGTATACCAGGAATTCGAGTTTCCAATGCTCAAGGATTCCAATAAAACAGTATCAAGCCGAGGATTTTATCACTGGTGGTGCTGGACAACACAACAAGTAAGCACAACGGCTATGCTTCACCAGGGACCTCCAGGCAAGATTCAATTTCCAGTGAACAGTAAACAGTCCTCAAGGTTTATCGGCCTTCTCGACCACGCCCTTGCTGGCTCGATACAACCGACTCACCTATGAGGTTGGGTACCCAAACAGTAAAGTAGTTGGCGGAATGTCATCCACGCAACTTAAGCACGGTCATATATAGCAATATCTCATTTCATATTACTTCATT